CACCACCAGTGGAAATTAGATAGCATTACAGGACACTTCATATAAACATTAGCAGGTTACTTTATTCTTGTAGAGAAAAGTTCCCCCTACTGAATTGTTTGAAACAAGTGCATCTAATGTATCTGGGGGGAAAAGCAGTTGGGTATAATAAGAGAAAAATCTGAGAATTTCCCAAAAAACTGTGCAAGTATTCATTGGATTTAACAAAAATTTATGGCATTCTTGTTGGAATTTCATATTTGTTTTCTCTGGTTTGCTTAATAGTATGCTTATGTTTATATTTTAATATCCAGATACTACTGCAAGTCACAAGTAGAGTCATTCAGAAATCTTTAAACAGTAGGATTATTAAATAGATCATCCTTTTCGGCTGCCTTCCCGACCTTTATCAGCCTGTGCATTCCAGTGATTGTCCCCTATGCAGAGCTGGAAGGATTAATCCAGAGTTTAGAATGAGTAGATAAAAGCTTAAGACCTACTTATCAAAATAAAAAAAAAGCTTAAGACCTACTTATCAAAATAAAAGATGGCTGCTCCTGTTTAAAAAAAATTGAAAGAGCAGGATATTGAGGAGACTTCCGATTTTGTAAACTTGGTAAGATTTAAAGCTAGCCATTTGAACTTTACAATGCTACAACATTTTGTAAAGATTAGATTTTTGCTCCAGTTCTCTCTTTGGATGTTTCCAGGATAACCTTTGAACTTAAATGTACTTTAACAAAATACAAGAAGAGGCTGATTAACATGCTATCCCTCCATGTTAGGATAATTCAGAGTGACAGTCTGGCACTATTCAGTGACTGGCCCAGTTGAAGGCACTTACACTATAGAATGGTTCCCTTACGAGTTGGAGGTTAAGAGGTTGTCAAAGAGGATATCAAAGGTTCAGGAACTCAAGACAATTAAAGTTGCAGACATTCATTCTCATCAATATGGTATGAATATTAATAAGTCAAAAGGGGGCTTTGAAACACACTTTAAATTTTGATTGGGACATTAATATTTGAAAAGGGCAATCTAAATGAGAATCCTATGAGGACTAACCTGAAATAATAACCTAGCTGCTAAGAAGGAGAGCATTGGAAAGCAGCTTTGCTGTAAATTGCTGAAAATAACACAATTCATTGCTACTTGGTCCTGAATTCCATCATGGTTTTTGTCTTTTCCTGTTTTGTAACAATTTATTTTTTGATTTTCAATTTCCCATTATTAATTCACACTGTATAAGTTCATATCAGATCAGACATAGCATATGCTCTGATAAGACTGTTCACCATCTTGTCAGTTGCATAGTTTCAGTTTTGTTCCATTTATAGAACCAAGCCCACATGCAATCTGCACCAAAAGTTTAAAATATATGCATGTATCTGCACACTTTAGAAGATCAGAAAACCTGGAGTTCTTGAAATACAAATCTTGCATTTCTGTCAGTGTTTTGAACACTCTATTTGTTTTTTCTTAGCTATTACTATTTTTTCTTCTTTTTAAGAAAACAATCTCTGGTCATTTTCTAGCTGCTTGAACAGTTTAGCATAGTTGGCAATAGTTCTTGCAGGTTTGTTCCCAAATTCATGGTCTGTATATTTTATTCATGGTCTACATATTTTATTTTCTTCCATTATTAGGAAGTCAGCTAATGTGTGGTTGCACATGTGCACCAGAGCAAATTCAGTGGCAAAAAACTATATTAATGCAGTGTTAAGGTGGTTTGGTGGAATGTCATTCCCTGGCAGAACATTCAATTGACCAAAACATGTAATTTATGAAAACCAGGAAATGCAGAGTTAAGGTTGCCCATGTTTTAGACCCCAAATTTGGATCACTAATGTGCCCCAGAAGGCCTACCAAATTTCATAGAAATCCGAGTAACCATTTGGATTTTAGAGCACTTACAAGAGTCAAGTTTAAAGCATGTAAAATGGCAGAAATGGAAAACTCCTAGACATTTTTTCTGTATCGGCACATGTGCAGTATAAAATATGTACATTTTTCTTAAATACCGTTCTCAGTTTGGGTCCCTCAAAGATTTAATTGATGCCATGCCTAACTTGGGTAAAATTTGAGGCCATTTCGACCCATATCACATCTATAGTTTGATATAAAGCTCTAGGAAGAAAAAATTCACCTAGATGTTTCCTTAAATGGCTGTTTGGGAGAAGCTTATATCTCCACACCCCCTGGCCTACCAGACTCCAAATTTGAGTTATTAACCCTACCCTGCACCCTCCCGAGGCATACCAAATTTTAAAGAAATCTAAGCATGTTGATTTTAGGGGACCTAGAAAGGCCCACCATTAAACATATATAATAATGCAACCTTAACTATCGTGGCACTCCCATGCCACTATAATGATAGAAGCTTATCTACATATTGATTTGTAGGACTTATGAAAATATAGGGTACAAAGAACTGAAAGAATTCATTTATTTCAATAAGAAATGTGTAGTCAATAATTTGAGTGTGTTTTGGTGTATTCTGCAATAATAGTTCCATACAACCCTTAGGAATTTCAGCAGTTGGAGTAAGGACGCTGTCAATTTCAGTGCGAGATTTCAAATTACTGAGGGCTTGTCTACATGGCATTGGCAAAGCGCACTAGAGTGATGTGACTCATAAAGTGTTCTAGCAGCCCTGTGTAGACTTGTAGGACTATTTTAATGCAAACTAGGTACCTTTTAGAACATGACACCAGGAACTACGCATAGCAGCTACAGAACTTTATAGATCACATTTGTCTGGCACACATTGCTGAGCTATGTAGACAAGCACTTATTTTAATGATGCGTTCAAGTGTCTTTTTGTGACAAAATAGCATTTAATCAACTCCCCAGTTGTCCTAACGCTTACCTGCACAAAAATCTCCACTGACATTGGTTTTGTTGTCAAAAATCTTACATCTGCATGGAAGATTTGGGTATCTCTTTATCAACTTTCATGTAATGAAAAAAGCATGTTCTTTGTTGATTATCTATCGCAAACACAAATTTCTGAATGTTTGAAAACTGAAGAGATATATATGGGTGGTCTGTCCATGCAATAAATAATAGCGTTCCAGGGCATAAATGCCTGACCCCGCTTAAAGGGGATGTGGCTAATCAGGTTACTTGAATTTTTCCCAAGATGGGTACAATATGCTGTTAACCTGATGTATCTGATTGCAAGCCAGTTGCATAATTTTTTTCAAATGGTAGTCAGAAAAAGTATTTCTATAATTGTTAGGACAGAAATTAAGTGTTTTATATTGTTTCACTTAAGAAAGAAATTCAGTGCTTTCACTTAGGCACTAATTTTACAAAGCTGTCTATTTTTGAAGTGATGATGGGTTACAAAAATATTTTGGGGTGTTTTTGATATAATTCAGAGAAACTTTTTTCCCAGCAAGAATCTAATTCTAACTTCTAGAGGGAGTACAGAACAAGCTTTTTCTAGGACTTTTAGCCCAAAAAGACAATTAAAAGCTATTCCAGCAAAAGGAAGCAGTGTTCAATCCAGTTAATTCCCTGGCACTAAAGAGTGATTTCTTTAGGTGTCAAGAAAAGATCTCCAGCCAGGAATATAATACCAAAGTGTAAGAGAGAAAGAGAGATCACAAAATTGTCTTGTTGGACAAAAGGTAATATATTCGATTTATGGATATAATGCAAAAAGCTAAGGATTATACCCAATTCTAGAAGAGATTGCAGATTACCTGCCCTCTAAATGGCAAAAATGCATTGTAATCTTAGCTTTGTAGGACCTACAGCTTTCTGGTAGGATCTGAAGTAACTTAATATCAGAAAATTGATAAGAAAGACAAAAAAGGAGAAAATATAACACTATTTTGGAGAGGAAGAGACTTTTTAAAGCTAAATTGAGAATTTTAACAGAGGGATAATATTGTTAAGATTGTAGAGAGCCTGAACAATATACATATTTTTGACTATGATCTTTACAGTGTAGAAGCCTCATTATCATCCTGACTGGATTATGATTGTAAAATTGCAATGAAGCTACTTACGTGGGCAGGTGCTGCTTCTGGATACTCAGGTAGCAGTGTTTGACAGGCTGGTGTTTTATCATTTATATATGTCTAGTAAAGAAAGTTGTATCTTCCTATTTTGGGTGTGGACCTTGCTTTGGTTATCCCTGTTTTGGTTGGATCAGTTAGTATTCTCAGTATGGGCTACAGGTACAAACCCTCTAGTTAGTGTTAAAATTGGTGCCATTTTGTGATCTGTCACTTGACAAGAACATTACACCTCTCCTTGTAATTATTATAATTTAATTTTTTGCACACTCAAGAAATGTGCTTGAAATCTCTCACAAATGAGTAAAATACTGCCACTGTCCTAGAGAGCATAATCCTGACACAATAAAGTGAGGGTCATAAATAGGTTGAGGGGAAAGGCAATAAGATCATGCTGTTCTTTGATTGCATTGCTATTTTTCTTATCTATTGCTTTCTACCCACTCCATGTTGTAGGCAAACTTCTCTCTGCAACCGGCACTTGTTGCTAGTGGATTTGTGGGGTAATTTTAAAGTGTTGGTTTTAATCTGAAACTCTGATTTGTCGTCTTTCTACGTTGAACATCATGGCTTCTATTCCCATGTGGTACTTTGTTAGCTGCAGTCATTTGAGGCACTTGAGCTAACAGCCTCTTGGTGTAATCAGATGGAAGGAAGTGCTTTCTTAGTAAGGATTCATGGGCTACGGAACTCACGTCTCACCTTGGTTTGCCAGACGGACAGTTTGGTGACCATCAAAACATGCTGCAAGGCTCTCCTGTTCCCCAGTCTCTTCCTGGAGGAGAGGAAAGGCGGTTGTGATGTACACTGCGAAGGTGGCCGTACTGATAGCCAGGAAAGTTTTCTTTGTCGGAGCACTGTATTTGAGATTCATTAGACATATTTTGGTAAAATTAGCATTTCAATGTACATAGTCCACCTGGAGCTTGAGAGAGCTGCAGATGGCAAAATAAAAATATAATAAATTATATATTCTTTTCTCTATGGTTTTAGGGACTGTGATGAAGGAATATGCACAGACAAGTCCAACATTTTATATGCTTGGGCAAGAAATGCTCCTCCCACCAGACTACCCAAAGGTATGGTACCTTTCATTTTATGGAATTCCCTCTTTGGGCAGGGGGGATAGGGGAGAAGGAGGAGGAGTAGCTCCCTGCCTCCCTCCGCAATCTCTTTTTCCGTCTTTCATTTAGTGGTTTCAGTTCGTTAAAAGTGTACATACTTCAATCTCATTAATTGTGGTAATGAATATTACTTACTTTATAGGAACTAATGAACATATGTGGTTTTCTTATTCCATGTAACATTATGGATGATAAATCAGGACTAAAGGAGAATAATATAATAAATAGCTCTTGCACAACACTTTTCATGCATAGGTCTCCGAGTGCTTTTCAACTAAGTGAAAGTTTCACTATCTCCATTTCACAGATAGGGAAACTGGGGTGAGAGAAAGTGACTTGCACAGTGGCCCAGAGCAAGTCAGTGGTGGAGCTGGGGATAGAACCTGACTTCTAGTTCAGTGCCCTCTCCACTAGAATGCACTGCATCCCACTACAATTAGGGGGGAGGGGAAGGGTGGGCTGTTTCTCTTTTTTCTTAAAAACAAAAAACAAAGCATAAATACAGAGTTAGAGATCCTTCAACTCTTAAGTGTGAGTTGTGAGATTTTATATAGGCGTATCCAGTGGCAGGATGGGTCCACCAGTAGAAGCCTGGCATCCACTTGCATCTTTTGCCTTCCTCTGGAAGCAACGCTTGTATAAGGTGGAAATTATGAACTCGTTCTTTTCATGTCCCCAGCTTGTTTTATTTATTGTCCAACCCCTTTGCCTTACTAGACACCTTGGAGGAGTTGGAAGGTCCTCTGTATTCTTCCTTATTGTTCTGTGTGTGCTGGTTTGGGCAGGTGGTAGAAGGATGGCTGTTAGGAATGTATACATGCTGTCACTGAGGTCTGTACAAGCACCACCTCTGAACAGGGTACCTTTCAGTTATCTTGTAATTGCAAAATTTTAAATCTTTATTGTTTAAATAAGCTGTGGGCTGGGGAGTTACTGGAGAGTTATGTGTGCATGCTCAAGAATTTAGGTTATTTTTAATATGATGATTGAAACATGTAAAGTTTTAGGATTCATATAAGCATCCAAACTTCTGTGTGCCCCACAAAACCCTGTGATTCCCTGTCCCCAACCCCACCTCCCTTAGTGGGTGTCCTGGACCTGCAATTCTGGGACATTGCCTGGCATATGTAGGTAATTGATGGATGGGCTTTCCCTCACCAGCTTCTTCAGGATGATTTTCCCCTTGTCTCTTTCTAGGAGCTGGGACCTCTGGGGCTTCTCTCTTCCCTTATTGTATCTCTTCTGGAAGGCATCTAGTCTTCTCTGTCTGCCTTTCTTCTGGGAGTGGGGAAGATTCTGGGATTCCTCCACCTTGTTTCCCCTTCTCCTGATTCCTGCCAAAGTGCTTGCCAGCTGTCCCTATTGCCTCTGAGTGCTAAGATGAGAATCTGGGCAGAGGTATAGAAAAGGACTGGACAGACAGTGTTTTGCTCTGTGGCTATTATCCTTCTGTGCCAATCTCAGAGGCCCAACAGAGGGGACAGAGCAGGGAGAAGGGGAAGGGATGCACAGGCAGCCACAGACCTCCTTGCTCCTCACCACAGCTATAGGAGGCCAACCTTATTTTGTAGAACTCAACTATCATCCGAGGACTGGGAACTTTCCAGGACAGGTATCTGAAAACTCAAGGCAATCACAGCTGTAATGAGATGATTGACAGGCATGCCTTTGTGACAAATGCATGGTGGTGTGCTTTTCTCTTTGATTTGCCTTTCCCGTTTTTTAGGTGCACTACTACACATATTTAAAATCACAGATGTCAACAAAACGTATGAAATGTAAAGAAAGGAGAACATCATCATACCAGCAACAACAACAAAATCCCACAAGAAATCTATATCGCTTCTGCCATAACCTCTCTTATGGATTCAATCACATTTTTCCTCCAATTGTGCCATCCCTTCTCCTCTGTGCCCCTCACCTCTGAGGAAAAGATTGGAAGAATAGATGTATTTTTAATGTTGTCTAAGGATCATCAAAAATCCTCTCTGGATTAAGTGGAGAAGGTTGAGGAAGATTTTGATAAACTTTCCCAACTTAAAAAGAATTTAACTTGGGAAAAGAAAAATTTGGAAGCAGAGCTTGATGGTTGACAAAAGTTGTACAAGAAGTTGGGAGCCTTTAAAATGCCAGTTCTATCCCCTTACAAGACACACCACTGCGTATGTAGATAATGGATCCTGTTTGTAATTCAAAGTGCATTTCAGACAAGCTCCAAAAAGAGAGAGAAATTATCTGATTAGAGGTTGTATAGAGGCTTCCATCTAAATATATTTGTCTTTCAATTTTGTCTTGTATTTTGTGTCTGGGAACTTACAGATTTGTAAGGGCTTTCTGTACACAATTTGTTTCACAGCTTGATGTTCTGAAACAATTGGAGAGCACATATATGCCTTCATTTTTATATGACATTGTCCTTTGGATGAATCCCATCAGATTTTCAGTGGGCTATTCTCAGTGTAATACTCCGTTGCATTATTCCAGGACAGCCTCTTTAGTGTACTGGAAATATATTTACAATCTATGGAAGATGTAGCTTTAGTCTGAGGATATCTTTATTTTATTGAAATCCCTTTAAACGGAGTCACTTTTCCCCTTTATCCTCTAGCTCCATTTCCCATTGCTATGAACAGTGTAGAATACCACAGACTACCTTTTCTAGAAATCTCCTTGTATATTAATCAGCAGGGACATTAATTGAACTCTGAGCATATTCACTTGTAGCTACAGTTCACCAAAGCTGTACAATCCAGGGAGCCAAGGTGCTAAAGTACATGCCAAACCCCAGCTGGCAATTTGTTGCTGTCTCTAAACTACTCAAAACTGCAGATGTTTAAATGAGTTACCAGTCTTCCTTTCTTTCCTTCTTTTTTTCTTATTGATACTATGATTGTGCATAGAGATTCTGCAAGCCTCTTCACAGAGAAGCTTTGCCACTGGCACTTGTTAATCTAGTGGGATTCACAGGCTGAATAGGCAGAGATTGCTTTCTCTGCTTCTCGCCAAGTATTTTCATTGTTGGGCAGGTGTGGAAAGATCCTTATCAATGATGCTGGTGCTCTGTAATTTGTGTTCATTCTTTCAAGTTCCTCTGTAATATCTATTGATAATTTGTCACCCCATTGTTATTTTACTTGGAAACCTACACATTTTGACAATTTTCATGAAAATAATAATTTTTGCAGTGTTGAACATTTTGGGGTGGAAAATTAAGTTTGTGTATTTCTAATCTTAGTGTTTTTTGCATAAATTCATAGCAATTTACATCTTGTTATACTTAAATTAACTGTGAAAATGGGAAATGAAAATAAGCATTCATTATATTAGAATCCTTTGTGGCTAATAAAGAACATGAGCATCATCTTGTTTTATAATCCTACCTAATATGCATTGGAATGAAGGAAGAATTTGCCTAAATCAGTCATCACTCTTCATTGATGACTGTGACTCAGACTGATGAGTATCAGAAGTTTATGTTCAGTGCCACTTCAGCAATATTTTATTTATGTATTTATTTAGTAGTTTCTATGACCAGTAGTTTTTTCACTGACATCTTAAAATGAAACTTTCCTCCCCCTCCACTGCCAGTCTAAATATTCAGTCTTGGACTTTTAGACAGTGTTACCAGTGATGAACTATTTAAAATGTACCTTATTTATTGTTTCCATAACCCTAACTCGTCTTCTTTATTTTAAGGTGTTGGATTCAAAGTTGGAGGAGAAACAGGTAGCAAATATTTTGTGCTCCAAGTACATTATGGGGATGTCAGTGCATTCAGAGGTATGTGTTTTGGAAATTGTAGTCTGTAAATATGATTTCAAATATTCCTTTCTGAAAAATTTTAGATTGCACGCACAAAAAAAAAGCATCTGTTCCCTACTGAAATAATTTCCATTGGTGCTGCCACTAGTGGGGATAGAAGCACCTAAAAAGTTAACTTAAAAATATAAGCTTGACTTAAACTTTTTTAAAAAGATGTATGGAAAGGAGATAGACAAGGTTATATTTTAGTAAAATTCAAAGAAAGCAACAAAAGGCAACTATGCTCATCTTCACATTGGCTCTGTAAGCAGAGACAGACGCCTTCTCAGAGCAACTTAACATCATCTTTTTTCATCTGAGAAAGTTATTTCGCATCTTTCTTTCAAGTTTATATTTTAGTGTAAAATACTTTAAAATAGAATAGCATATTAGAATAGATTTTGTATTAAAAAATCATGATTTTTCAGTTATGTTAATGAGTGCTATAAATCAGTGCAAAATAGCTATGCCTATATCTGGTTTGAATCTTGGTTAAGGAGAGAGAGACATTAATCAATCAATCAGCATTCAAAGAAGCATGAAAATAACATGAGTATTTTGAGAGTAAGAAAATATAAACATTGCTCTTTGGTTTGTTTTTGTTAATGCTTGTGGATAGACTCTACAGCCAGAATATAAGTATTTTTGCTCTAGTATATCTATCCAATAGAACATCTAAAATATACACCAGTACTACCAGCATCTGTGAAAGACTGGGAGGACTATAAATTTATATTCATTACACGTTTTTTTGTGAATTTCTATAACATGAGGGGCAAATATCCACCTTGTAAGCCTCATGTTTTCTGCGCATTTTTCTGAATTAGGAGTTTTGTTCTCTAGTCACCAATCAAAAATCCAGATGGTGGCTTACCTGTTTACCGTAACCTAAAGGGACAGACTGCATTTGATACACTTTCATCTAAACACACCACAAAAATCCAATTTATGTGAGGCATGAGTACAATCAGCTATTCAAATATTAATCCTTTTCAAAACTGGGGCTAATATGGCTCTTCTAAATTAGGTGGTACACCTGTGATCAAATACAGTAACAAGTTTGGATCCGAAAAGTAATTTGTTAGTAAAAGCTTTGAGACAGGATCACTGACTTTTGTTTGTTTGTTTTGTAAAGTGCTGTAGAAAACAATTCTGCACAAGCAGGGAGATGTACTCGGTGATTGAATAAGTTCCTGCTATTTCTACTTGTTTTTATTGTTAAAAGTTTTTAAATTTTTGTGATATGAGGGAATATAAGGCTGTAAAGCCTCATAATAATTGGCAAAAAAAAGTCTGCACAAATGGAGAGTGCAGTAACTGTTTTAATTTAATGTGGCCAGTAGAAGGGTATATTGCACAACTGTGGCTGCTCCTCTCTCTGCTCAGAAGGAATCTGTTTTTACATCTGACAATACAGGTGAGCCAGTGCAAACCCTTGGGAATCGTCACTTGCCAAAGGAACTTAAAATTAAAATCACAACCCTTCAAAGAAAATATATTAGGAGAGAGCCTGCCCTTCGTTATTGCTTGGGGAAGTTGAGAGTTCCTTTTCAGTATTAAGTACAAGTCACGTGGGATTTTTTTTTTTATAAGATTTCTAATAATAAACCATGTGTATGTGGGTTTTTTAAAATGGAAAACAATGAACACCTGAAGTTATTTGCCTGCTACATGAGAATTTACAATTTCTTAAATCGAGGAATGAATCTGATTTTTGTTCCTGTTCTGTTCTTTGTCACATAAATCCATTGTGGTGACTGCTTTAACTTACACAACCTATCTTTTCAAGTTTCCAAAGTAAGGTAGTAGACAGGGTTTGGGGGAAGATTACCAGTATTTCTATTAATCTCAATAGCTCTACTTTTTGTCAATAATTGATGGGAATTGGATACTACTGAAGTTGTTAGGAGAGAGATTAAAATAAGTATGACAAAATACCATCTGGTTTTACTTCAGTACTTGTTGTATTGTGTGCTCCATCCTTTTATTTTTAACATGCAAAATATTTCATTTTTCTTCTGTGAGCCAAAAAGGCTTCTAATTTAGCTTGCTTGTGATAATCTCAGTTTGAGTAGGGAAAAATGTAATGTGATATAATTCTCTCTAAACCTTGATTGCTCTCTTCAAGCAGATTTAATTTTGAGCTCTGTGAACAGCTTTAGAAATATTTTTAACACTTCAGAAATTATCCAAAAGAAACTTGTCTTATCTGTGCCAAGACTTTAACTGGTAAGAGAGAGATTTCCAGTTTTAAGACTATAATAGTTGCACTTTTTTTACAAAGTAGAGCACACATAATGTGTCATAATTCAGAATGAAGGATGAAATCTATTCATTTAATTCATGTTATCTGGCACTTTCTCAGCAATATAAATAACAGTAACAGTCCACGGATTCAGTAGCAGTCTTCAGAGTTCAGTGTACTGTGATATAAGACATTACAGATATACTTTTTTTACTGGATATATAAGCATAAAATATTTGGCTGTAGATCTAGTAATGAATTATGCATATTGTAATTATTCAACTGTGTTCCATTTGCACTTTCATTCTTTTCTCCCAAAGTACCTGTATGTACCTGTAGTGTAATTTTTCAACTGTTTGTAAAAGGGATATTTTCTTAATTTAATTTAACCAGTTAATATGCAAATTATGCTATTTTTCTCAGCTACAACCCAAATGATAATGCTGCCATATTTAGTTAAACATTACTGTTTTGTGATCAGAGACCAAAGTTAAAGACTACTATATGTGGTCCAAAACACTCGTGTTAAAAAATAAAGCCTATCTGCGAAAAGAATAAACTTTGCTGTATAGAGTGAGATCTGTAAAAACAGTCACGTTTAGAAAAGGGTTATCAAATAAAATGGGGGGTTCAGTTTTTTTGTTTTATTACTATTTATACTCCTAAACAAAAATCTACATTAAGGTGGAGTTGTGGTTGTGGAAGTACTTATGATTAAATTAAGGGTGAAAAAGATGTCAATTATTCCAAATACAAGCATTACAAACCCAGGACATTCAAAATTAAGCTTCAGTGTAAATGAAATCAGAATATTTTAAGGTATAGAAATGCACAATTAAGGAACTCAAACAACTTTAACTCTGCCCTGTAGGTCTGTGCAATGCTATAACCATGCTATTATGATTAATCCGTTTCAGTGTGAATGGATCCAGATCAGATTAAACTGATTTCTAAAAATACATTGCGGGGCGCGGAGATTCCCTTTTTCCCCCCTTTCTCATACCATCGCTACAGGGCAGAGTTAATGTTATTTGACTGCCTGTAATGCGTGTGCCTTAATCCTGCCCTGCATATGCAAGGTTGTAGTCCTTGCCACCAAAGAGTCTAAAACAATTAAGAATAACAAAGGCCGAGGAAAAGAAATACAACTTGCAAATGAAGTGATTGAGCTGACTACTTAATGCACATTTTTTGGGATGGGTAATCGACTAAAAGAGGAGAAGTGGTTTATAGCGTATGGGAAGCGAGGGAACAGAAAAAGAATGGGGAGACGGGAAGCAGTCATGGAAAAGGGCACACTGGCACCCGGATCTGTACTTCCCGTTCTGCTTTGGTTGCTAGGGAAACTGAAATGTTTTGACCCAACAAGCCCACTGGGAGGGTGAAAGCCATAGGGTTGGGAGCTGCAATGGGGCCAGTGTTGCAGAGCATGAGGTCCCTAGGCTTGGTGGGAGAAGCCAGGCAAGATACAATTAGGACCTATTTTATCTTCCTTTTAGGGTTCTTAAATGCACACTATGTAGCTCTGAACTTTGGATGTACCAAGTTACCCTAACTGTGTTGTTAAACTAGATCATTTAAAAAGCTGCTTATTTCCTAATAGTGATTTTTAAACTTGTTTTATCCACATGAAATATTTTGGATCTGATATTTTTCTTTGTTTTACATTGTAATTAACTTACTGCATTGTTTGAAAAACCTAATATCTTTAAGTACAATTGATGAAGACTTTGGGGGCAGATTTTCAAATGCACAAATGACAGACCCCCAACTGCCATTTGTGCCTTTGAAAAAATCTCCCCTTTCATAAGTTAAGTCTAGAACCTCTGCACCCACCATTGGGTTTCAGAAGGAAGAGAACATGTGGAGGGCACAGGAGCTAAAATGCTTCTCCCACCCCTTCCTCAACAAAATAAGTGTTGTCATGTATTTCAGTTAGGTGGTCACACCTATATAGATTTATAGGTTTTTAACGCCAGAAGGAACCATTGTGATCATCTAATCTGACATCCTATATAACACAGAGCATAGTACTTCCCTATTTTAATTCCTGCTGCACATAGTTGTGCTTGAGCTAGAGCACACTTCTAGAAAAACATCCAGTCTTGATTTTAAAATTTCCAGCAATGGAGAATCCATCACAGCCCTTGGTAAACTGTTTCAATGGTTAATTATCCTCTCTGTAAAAAATTGTGCTTTATTTCTAGTTTGAATTTATCTATCTCTAACTTCCACCCCTAGTTTCTTGTTATACCTTTCTCTGCTAGATTGAAAGGTCCTCTATTATCATATTTCTGTTCCCTGTGTAGGTACTTAAAGACTGATCAAGTCACTTCTTAACTTTCTCTGTGTTACGCTAAATAGATTGAATTCTTAAGAGTCTGTAACTATAAGGCATGGTTTCCAATCATTTAATCATTCTTGTAGCACTTCTCTGAACCATCTCCAGTTTTTCAACGTCCTTTTTAAAGAGTGGACACCAGTACTGGACAGGGTATTCCAATAGCAGATGCTCCTGTGTCAAATACAGAGGTACTATAACCTCCCTATTGCTATTTGAAATTACCCTGTTTATACTTCCAAGGATTGCATTAGCCCCTTTGGCCACAGCATTGCACTGGGAGCTCATGTTCAGATGGTTATCCACCATGATCCCTATGTCTCTTTCATAGTCACTGCTTCCCAGGATAGAACCACCCATTCTGTAATTATGGCCTGCATTGTTCCTAGATATATGACCTTACGTTTAGCCATGAAACACACATTGTTTGCTTGTGCTCAGCTTACCAAGCAATCCAGATCGCTCTGTATCAGTGACCTGCCCTCTTCCTTATTTACCACTCTCCCAATTTTTGTGTCATCTGCAATGCTACATCAGTGAAAACTTTGATTTCTTTCACTGTCATTAATAAAAATGTTAGTCTAAAGTCAAGAACCCATCCCTGCGAAACTGCACTAGAAACGTAGCCACTTGACAATGATTTCTCATTTAGAACTACATTTTGGCAGCTATCATTTAACCAGTTTTAATCATATAATGTTTGCCATCTTGATTTTCTGTTGTTCTTGTTTATTAATCAAGATGTCATGCAGTACCAAGTCAAATCCCTTACAGAACTCAAAGGTAATAGTATTGATGTACTATACTTAATCAACCACATTTGTAATCTTATGAAAAATAGATAGCAAGTTAGTTTGAGAATATCTAATTTCCATTATCCCATGTTGATTGGCATTAATTGTATTACCCTTCATTAATTCTTTATGAATCAAGTCCCATCTCAGTCATTCCATTATTTTGCCTCAGATTGACGTTGACAGGCCGGTAGTTATGTGGGTTTATTCTTTTTAAATATAGACACAGCCTTTGCTTTCTTCTAGTCCTCTGAAACTTCCCAGTGTTCCAAGACTTATTGAAAATCAACATCAATGGTCCAGAGAACTTCTCGATCAATTCTTTCAGAATTCTCAGATGTAAATTACCTAGATCTGCTGATTTAAGATATAACTTTAGTTGTTGCTTTTTAACATCATCTGTATTTACTGTTGGAGTGGAAAACGTTTCATCATTATGACTACATCATATGCTTTTTGACCCCCAGATATTTCAGTTCTGTATTTATTGAACACTTCCACCT